AAATTCCTGTTGATAAGTCATAAGTACAATGTAGTTATAATCCTTAGGTTGTTACAGATTATAACTATGTTATGGTTTTACTTTATCCCCAAACCTTATCCCTATTATTGTAAAATTATTAGAGAAGACCATTTCCATTTTCAAGGGTTAGGGTTTTCGGGTTGGGAATATTGGTTTTTCTATGGGAGTGTTGGTGTATGGAGTTTAGAGTGGGATTTTTCTATGTGGGTCTTGGTGTGGGTCTTCTGGTGGTTCCATGGTATGGGTCTTACTCTGGGTCTTGGTGTGGGTCTTTTGGTGAGTTTAGGGTTGAGGAATAGGTTGTTATGGTTTTGGGTCTTGGGTGGCCTAGGGGGGTGGGCATGGTTAGAAAATGGAAATGGTAGTTGCTAACTAGCTGTTTACGCGTAGCGGAACCAAAAGGCAAGTGTTTGGGCTGATGCCCAAACATTCCCAACAAGCCGTTCCAACAGATATGGGGTTGAAGGGTTTTGGGGTTGAAGGGCTAGGGGTTTCAGGGTCTAGCAACCTGGGGCATCGTAAGCACATGCAACAGCGTACGTATATAGGCCGAGTCAACTGTCCTGCCCGTCCTGCCCATGGCCCCCAAAGGTACACCCTGCTATCTGAGGAATACTATATAGTATATAGGGTTTGTATTATAATTAGGGTCCCCTAATCATGATTAATGATTGTTCTGGGATCGCCAAGTGGGTGCTAAGAAGTCGAAGCACTCCAACGGCCCGAATCATGAGTACTGGTATCGCTTGGAGTTACCCGACTGCGCACCTTTGTTTCGGATTTCAGGGCCCCCTGAACTTCCCTAATTGCGGGGGGGGGGAAAATTTGGTGGGGGGGGGGTTCGGGTTTTAGGTCCACGTCCTGGAATTCTGGGGCTTAGGAGTCAGAGATTCCCCTGCAGACTTCAGCCTCTATACTGCCATTCGCAAGGCCCATGTGCTCGAATCTGTCCGCCGCATCGTCTCCACCATGCTCCGCCCTCAGCACAAAACGAAGGACTGGCGCGAGATCGCCGCAGTTTAGGATTCAGTGCTTTCAGAGGGTTGTGCTTATGGCTGCCGGATGTTGAGTCCCTGAGCCGTAAACCCAAAACCTTTCCTAAACGCTGAAACTGACCACCTAACTTGCGAGCTGCAGCCCTCAACCCTAAACCTGTACCCTAAACCCTAAGCCCTCAAACAGCATGCTCATTGAACCCATTCCGTGTAGGAACTTCCGACCTCCGATTCCGGTGCCAAGCAGCAGTCATCTGCCGAGAGCCCTCATCGAAGTTCTAAACCCCTAAACCCCTAAAGCCTAAAACACATGGCCCTGGAGGACAAAAGCTGCTGAAATGAAACACCAAGGCCCTGAAATCAATTTCATTTCCCCAACTCCAGACTGAAACCCAACCGCCCCGCAGACTCACTCGGCCCGTAAACCTTCAACCCTAGTGTAGAAGCTTGAGTAAATACGAGCACTTTTCCTTAGGTTCTTACTTTAAGTGTAGTATCTTTTATACCCGCCCAAAATCCATCAACATCCTACTTTAATCCTGAGGGCCCTTTGTCAAACACCTAGCCATGCGACCAACTCAGGGACGAGGAAGGCTTTGGCGACGTGCCCCTTATCGGCTTCTCTGCGGCTCCTTGGACGCTGTTCTTCTACATGGCCGGGCGCCCCAGTGCTGAGCCCCTAAACCCTAAACCCTAAACCCTAAACCCTAAACCCTAAACCCTGTAAAGGACTGTGTTTTTTGCTTTTTGGGCGACCTGGGAGGGCCTTGTAACTTGTACCAAAATTGGGAGTCTCCGAAAATTGTTTGGGGGTCCTTAGATTAAGGATCCTATTATTTAGGGTACTATATTAGGGTCCCCTATTTTTGGAAACCCCCGCATTGTATACTTTGGCACTACCATACCCACATAGGAAACCTTTGAAGGCCAAAGTATCCACTACATAGGTGCATGGACCACCCGGGCAGGATTAAGTGATTGGTTTTGGTGTTGCACGATGACATGAGCTCAGGGTTGGAGGGGCAGGCATAGCTGTAGAGCCCTGCTTCAAAAAGGGATAGCCCACAAGGTGCCACGAAGAAACAACCCAACAGCATGCCGAGGTACATCGCATGGTCAGCAAACCCTAAACCCTGAAACCTAGCCCTGCATCCTAAGCACTGAATCCAGACAGCCGTAGTTATTTTGGTTTTTACTGGGGGTCTTGGAGGGGCGGGCTGTTTCAGTGAAGTGTAGGATTTGGGATTGGGCTTTGCGGCATTTGCTTCTGTGTGCTAAGGGTGCTCAAGATCCTAAGCCCTCAGCCCTGCACCCTCGGGAACTCATGAACCCTTTATGTTTTTGTTCCGGAGAGCTTGGGGCATATGGAAACTCATGGAGGGGTTATAGAGCCTGGGGTTTGGGTGAGTCTATGCGGGGCACAGATGAAGCTTCAACGCGGGTTCCAGCTGGAATCTTCAAAAACCTGAGCCCTGAAGTTTTAGATTTTAGAGCACCAGAGGCCTCAATAAGTCCTAGAACTCCTAGAACCCTAGAGCCTAGAGCCCTAGACTCATCACATCGACTCGGAAGAACTCTACAGCCTTGGAAGCCTAGAGTTGTTAAGCTCTAGAGCCTTAGAACCCTGGAGCCCTAGTGCCCTAGAATCCTCGAACCCTAGAGATAGAGCACTTGGAAGATGCCTTTGCAGGTGGGGGGCTCCTCGAGGAAGAGGACGCTGCAATGTTTCGGGGTTCTTCCCAAACTGGGACTACTTTCTTAGGGTTAAGGGTCTATAGTGCTTCAGGGTTGAGGGTTTACACGGCATACGGTGTGGGCTTCGTTTCGGGTGTAGGGTTTTGAGCGGTGGGCGCTGGTGCTATTGTTGGTTTATAGGGCTTGGGCTTCAGGGTTTCCGCTCACACCAGTTGACTCCTTATCTGGCCTTTTTGGCATTGAACCGAGATGCAGAGTCACATCGGGTAAAGGACGTAGAGCCTATTCCAAGCCATGTACCTGTTTACTGTTTAAGGGTCATGGCGATCCTTATGCGCTCAGCTGTGACGGCCAATAGCTAGCGCAACGTGCCGTTATCTGGACAGTCAGTACGAGTCATTACTTTCAGAGAAGACGTGCTGGTGCTGCCGCGCTGTCCGGTTCAACGACTGCCGGTCTCTAAGCCTGTATGCAAGCATGTAGCTAACCGACCATCATTTGTGAACCCCAAACCATCGTGCCTAAACCAATCACTTTAAACCATCCGTGACTTGTGGCTCAAGTGTTTCCAGCATGGCCCCATGGACCCTCTTTCATCCGTCCAGCCACAGCCGAATGATTCGCGGGCAATGATGAAGCTTGGGTCCACTTTCAGAAGTGTTTTCAAGCGCTAAAGTTTACGGCTTCAAGCTTTCAGGATTAAGGGTTATTTGTCGCGACGCCGAAACACTAGCAGGTCTAGCCAAGCATGAACCTCTAGGCAATCTCAAAGCTTAAAACATAGCGCCTCGCATTAGAATGCTGTTGCACCTTCAATCGAACTAAAAATTTAATCAAAGAGACTCAAGCCCAAGATCATGCTATCCAGCCTGGGCCAGGGACAGCATATGAGTGGTTCTCTAAATTAGGGCCCCACTTTAGGTCCCCAAGATAGTACGGCACCCTTATAAAGAGGACCCTAAAAGGGACCCCAATTTAGATCACTACCCATATAGTCAACGGAGGTCTGTTGAATTTTGGTACTTGCAGCAACCAAGGGACTTGGCTCATGGGTTTGAAGTCAGGGCTTTGGGATTTATAGTGTTTCAGCCAAGCCTGTATGGTTCAGTAAAGAGCCGTACCCTAAACCCTAAACCCTAAAAACCCTGAACCCTAAACCCGTGTATCAGGAACCTCGCCCAGGCATGTCCGAGAGTGAGTGCTGAAACCCTAAACCCCCATACATTGAGTCGAAGCCGAACACCGGAGACCTCCATTGTAGCCTCAATGACAGCATGAAAAGCATTCTCAATCACGCCGAACCCCTTGTTGTACCCTGAGAAGAGAGATCATATAAGACCGCAGGAGAAGACCTGTTTGACAACCTCACTTAACCCAAAAACTCCAGGCATTACAATCCGAGATACCCAAACCTCTAAAACCATGCTGTATGTGATGGCATGCGCATGCTTGTGTTCATCACGTCCGAGTCGCATGGTCTCGCGTTTGAGTGGTCTTGTGATTTTTCGTACATGACTGCCTGGCAGCTGTGTGTGAAGTCGGTCTTGTAAGTGATGTGTATATGCGCGCTTTATCGGATTGTGCCGCCTCGTTGGAATCGAACAGGTTGGTTGTTTTTCCTGCATAGCTGCTACAAGCATAGCGGCTGTGCCCCCGGGCAAATCCATGGAGCCCCGAAGCAAAATAAAAGCCCTAAGCCCCCAAATGCCGAAAGCACACCCTTGAGGACCCCGTCATAGAAATCATAACCCGGATAGTACAAAGCCCTTATTCAAGACAAGTGTCAGGCTTCATAGCGAAACCTTATAACTCCCTGATCTCCCTTCGGAACAGCGGGAACGCAAAACCCTGAACCGTAAACCCCTGTCCTCCGGGAAGCCCGGGCAAGGCTGGCCGCGTTTGTAGATCAAAGCCCCCAGAGCAAAGCCTTAACGAAGACTGGCCACATTACCCTAAACCCTAAATTCCCTAAATCCGAAATAGACTTTGAAACGTAGGAGGCAGAAAATGGACCCTGAAGCCCCTGACAAAGCCTTCTACCCCTCCGCCTCCCCCTAAACCCTAAACCCTAAAAGTCCTAAACCCTCAACCCCGACACCTCCCAAGGCTGGCCGCATTTGTGGCCTCCGGCGACGAGGCCGGTGTTCGCCGTGTCATCGAAGCAGACCCTGGCGCCGTCGCGCGGCGTTTCTGTTTGTGACGGGATGTTCGGATTACGATTTGCGACATTTGTCTGGTTGATGTGTTTTCTCTGGGTTTAGGGCTTTGGAGATTGCTTCTTTTGCCAACGTTCAGCTTTTGCTAGATACTGAGCAATCTGCATGTGACCCCAAACCCAATTTCCCTCGACTTGAAATCCCGAACCCTACGCCACCCTGTAAATCCGAAGCCCGAAAGTACGGCTACCTCAAACGGTTCTTGCCGCGATTTCGTGTCGGGGCGATGCCTTCCTTGTGTTCATACTCAAAACTTAGCTGTTGAGTTCTGCTTAAGTCTACCAATGTAAATGTGAACATAAATACATGAATGCATGTGTATATCTACATATTTACATATTTCTATATAGGGAAAGTGTCATAGTTTGCTTGGAAAGCGGTTCCTATTTAGGTACGATAAGAGCAATTAAAGTACATAGTGTATACGTGCATGGACCGTTAGGGGAGTTGCTTTCCAGCTCTTAAAGCACGTTCGATGTAAGTTTGATTGCTGAAGACCCGATCTAGAGCTGGGTGTTTACGTAAGAAACTTGCCTTGTCTCTTGTCAAAAACCTTTGGGTTAATATAGAAGCCGAAGTAATTACCAATATTGTTGTCAGGGGTCCTTATTTTCTTATATACTATAAAGGAGCCCAAAACCCTGTTCTAATTGTTAAGGCCCCTACATTTATACCGCCGTACTGAAGTTCCTATGCGGAGGAACGGCCTTTCCTCCAGGGTCCGAGAGGCTCCCCCCCATACGAGTATTGCCATGAGATACCTTGAGCAGTGCATGTTTGGATGCTCGTCTGGTATTCTATGAATGTATATGCGAGTTTCCAAAAAATGGAGTACCTTATTTTGGGGTCCTTATAATAAGGGTCCTACTATTTAAAATGCTATATTAGGGTCCCCTATTTTCGGAAACCCCCAAATAGGACAGGAGGAAACCCAAAATTCTGAAGCCCTGAGCTTCACACCTGAACGCCTCAAGGCCAAGACCCGAAACCCTGAAGGAGGTTTCAGATCTGCTTAGTTTGGACTCAGAGGGTTCCGGGTTAAGTAGGGTTTCTGGTTTAGTTCTTGAGTAGGGTTTCTGGTTTAGTTCTTGAGTTGGGTCTGCCAAATAAAGTTTTGGGAGACGAAGGTCAATGAGGTTGGCCTGGATGGAACATCGCCACTCTGTGCTGCTGCCATGTGGGGCCACGCCGCGCAGCGCACAAGTTTAGAACAGTGCTGTACAGCCCTGTACAGCTGTAAGAGTTACTAAAGCAGTTACGATTGAAGCATGGAAAACACATGCTGTTGAACATGCATCTCGGTGAACACCGCAATGATGCTACTTTTTGTTGGCGGTAGTAGCAACAGCAGCAGGAGCAGTCTTCGTCGTCGTAGTGGTAGTTGCAACACCAGTTGGCAATGCCGCAGCACCTGAGCTACAGTAGAAGGAGTGAAGCCCATAGTAGTCGTAGTAGGTGAGAAATTTGGTGATAATCACCACACCCGTGACAAGAGTATTATCACTGTAAATATTGCCCAAAGTTAGCGCAACAGAAGCCATAAGAGTGGGCATTGTAGCACTTGGAATATTGGTCTGTGTTCAAACCCTAAACCCCAAAACGCTTATAGGACCCTCAACGGAATCCTTTCCTAATTTCCTAAACCCTAAACCCTATAAACCCAAACCCTGAGGTGAACATCCTTCGCTTGCTTCTCGACTCCATGGCCTCCCCGGCGCTGCGGAACGAGAACGGCCCGCAATGGACAGTTCCGTGGGGCCCGAAATTTAAGAAATCAGTTGTTGGAGGTTTTTTGTTTTTGTTAGGCCTCCTGTTTACGGAGGGGAGTTGCTAGAATTATTTATTGGGGGTTTAAACAGTGATAAAGGTCTTCGTACGGGCTTGGATGGGATCTCAGAAGGGCCCTTGAGGGTGATCCAAGCATTGCTCACTGTAGACTGTCAGTTTGCAGCGATGTGCATAGTGGCTGTTCACATTGTCACCACGAATTATTTCAGCACGACTCGTAACTATAGCCCTGTTTGAAAGACTCAGAACTGGAGTCCTTAGCCCAGAGTGGTGTTCTGCTCGCCGGTGCTGTACTACGTTCTTGACGAGTTCATGGGTTTGGATTTCATAGGTGCTGGAGTTTGGCCTTGCGGGTTGAGGGTGTGGTTTACGCAGAAGGCACGTGTCCGCGTAGAGCAGTGAATCTGGGTGGTGCGGGTAATTGCAGGACCCGCGCCGTTGTGTAGTGGGTCTGGCTTGCCCATTACCGCCAGCTACCTTATAATCATTCCCTAGCCAAATATCGCAAGTGACAGAAGCTGGTTTGACTGACAGAGATCCATGCCAACCCCACCCTAAACCCTAAACCGTGGCTCGCAGCTTTCTTTGAATGTTTTTTAGAGTCTCTGGGTAGCTGCCCAAGGCTCTGCATGCTGCCGCCTTGCAGGAGGAGGGCAAGGCCTGGTAGAGAAGGGTTTAGGTTTAGGGTTTAGGGTCTAACTGTAAAGGGTCCAAAGTTACTAACAGTTAGACATTGGCTTTTTGGGATTTACGAACAGGGCCTCAGCAACGTTACACGAATCACCGGTACAGTTAGGACCAGGATTTCGGGCCAGGTGTTGCTTCGCCTCGGACACCCTTCAGTGTGGCTTGAATGGCAAAAACCCGAAGATCTGCGGTGCCGGGAGTCGTTCTGGACGGCGGTCCAATACATCGCCAAAGCCAGAAGCCGAAGAAGACGCCCGGCAAGCCGTGGCACAAAGAGCAACAAACGCCAGCTTGGAAATGAGAAAGCCTGTCCCTTCGCCGAAGACA